ATAGAATTTTATGCTGAGAAGTTATTATTGAATACATTCTGCTTTTCCCATATATAATTATTTGGCTGCTTGGGATCGGCATGTTTTCAACTAGTCTAACTAATACTAAAATATTTTTATCTTCCTTACTAGTAGTTTACTAATAAAATTATGCAGTGTAATTTCACATATAGTATGTGCATTAAAAAAACTCACACACTTGGATATCTATAGTAATGCACTTCCTCATATTTTCATTGCTCATGGGTGTGGGAAGCAGTCAGCTGTTTTTAGGATGCTCAAGCTCTTCATTTTAGCAAGTCTTCTCTCTTACTTCCTCAGTCGTATTGCTGCTTTACAGAACTACTCTGACAATTAGATGTGCCCAATGCAGCCACTTTGTTAACTAAGTTAATATCATTTAGGGTTAAAATATTGTTTATGACACTATGAAATGAATACTTTTATCCCAAAACAGTTTTTCTACCTGTCTCTGAATATGTTCTGCATAAATTAGACCAAACTATCAGAGCAGTCAGTTTTTAAAGCAATTAAGCTTGTAATACTCATTTGTAATTGTGAATAGTAATTGTAATTCCACGTTTGGGCCAGTAAACTAAATGTTTCTTCGTACAAGGCTGATTCTATGAGATCTTGCGCTTTTCAAGGGCGACTCACCCACTCGAACTGTTCTGACTCCCACAGTCACGGAGCACGTTAGCGCGAAACATGCCCAGCAGCGGTCCTTGCACTTCCTAGGGCAGCACGGTTTCTTGATAACGCCTTTCAGCTCTGACTAAAATCAGAGCAGCTCTTGCTGGCTAGGGCAGGCTCTGGCTGGAGAGGGTACCCGAAGTACGGGGGTGACACCAGAAACCCCGGCGGCTGAGGCAGGTGCACAGAATGGGCTGCCTGGAAGCAGCCAGATGTGTAGGGCGGAGGTGAGGACGCCACCAGGCCTCCCGGCTCTGCCCGGGCGAAGGAGAACCTGCGAACCGAGCCGCCGGCGGAGCTGGAACTCGTGGCGGTACTGGACTGTCTCGACGGCGTCCTGAAGCTCGTCGAGGCCAGGATCATGGGAAGGGTCTCGGTCTGATAGCTCCGAAGAGAAAATCGTATGGGCTGCGATGGTTGTTTAGGTCTTAAGCATGTGCAACAATAAACAGCTACCAAAGAGCCCACAATAATGAAGGCAATAAATATCGATCCGACAATGAGAAATGGAACGTAGATTGGTTCTGGTAAAGAAAAAGAACAGACAAACCATGCATATTAGCCTACAGAAATAACAGTTGTAGCACACAGAAATAAACTCCGTCGAGGATATGAAGACTCACATCGCTGTTAGATTCCCACTAACCATCGGCCCTTTTCAGAAGACAGAGCTTCTGTTCATCACCGATAGAGCTAACTGGAAGCGTATGCCCTACCTGTGCAAGTTAACATTCCTTTCTGTTGACAGCTCTAATAATTTCTAGTGGTAAAAACTGTCCACGCTGTGTCTGGTTTGCTGCGTGGTTATAGTTTGTTCAATCTCGGTTTCCCTCAAGAACCAAATTCTTCTCCTCCCCTGCCCTGCCCTCCCACCCCAGACTGTTGGGGCTGTCAAGCGTAACCGCCTGGACCTGCAGGCTAACTCCAGCACCTCCGACGTTGTTGCTTGCACTTGTACGGTGAGACATAAACGCAGAGCGAGTGACTCGGAAAACTACTCTCCGTGCGCACCGCTGGATTCCTTTTGTTTGACAAGCCGACGGCCCCTTGCACCGTGGGGTCACGTCTGCAGAGCACCGGGGCTCAGTCTCACCTCTGGGGAAAAAAAAGCCGAACCGACCCAGACTAGCTTTGCAGCCAGTGCTTCGCGGCAAAGCAGCCGCCGCTGGAAACGTGAAACACAAACCCG